AGGTGCTAGGCCTACTAGAAGTCGGAGAGTAAGAGCCGCGGCACGTGATCCATATGCAAATCAACGTCCCAGTAGGTCAGGACCTTCTCGTCCACATCCCACTGTGTTTGGTGCGGCCCAACGACCTCCTTCGAGACAGTAAACAGCAGTAAGCGCCAGCCGAGGATCTCGCCCATAGGAGTCTCGGTGTCCTGCTTTAAGAACTGCCCGCAATACTGCTCAATGCGCTCGAGCGTATCACCTAGCTCCGCCTTCTCTAGACAGGCGCTAGCGTGGAAGATGATCAGCTGTACAACCCAGATCACACCAGACAAGCAGCTGTTGTAGTTGCCCGGCTCTTTCCACGTCTTAGTATACGGCTTGACGCTGAGCATAGCACAGAAGCTGAGCAGTGGGGAGCTGTACCGATTGCCTCTAAATTCGTGGCAGATTAGTGCCATTGAGAGGACGGACATAGCATCTCTCAGCCCAGGCCGGTCCTGCTCGACAGCACTCTGGAAGGCCGCTTCCCACGCCTTTTCCTGGGCACCCGTGAGCTGGATGCTGCTTTTAGGGGTCCGCTAGTCGTCGTTTGCCGTGGTGAAGTGGCCGCCGCAATACGCCACCCGGTAGCAGTAAGTCAAAAACTGCTTCTAGTAGCCGAAGTTGGTCTTGCGCGTATTAGGCTCCTTCTTGGGGTCGAACGCGCGTAGTTTCTGCCCTGGGGCAGCAGCAGTGTGGAAGCGGCTCAGCGCTAGCTGCCGTGGCTAGGTCAGCATGTAGTCGGGACCGTCGAAGCACTAGCTGTATGCTTCTGTAAAGATCTCGTCTATGATTTCCAGTATTAAAAACAACTCGGGCTCGCTCTCGGCAGTCTTTAGCACCGCAAACGAGGCGTGCATCTCGTCCTTCTTCAAGCCCCGCGTGTGCTCCTCGATGCCCGTCCGTCTCAGCCACGGTATTACAGCAGATCTGTGGCTATCGAAACCATGAACGATATTGGCTTCTGCTTTGGCATCTGCCTCTGCTACGGCTACATCTTCATCGACTAGCTTGAAGAAGTCTGCCTCTCCCGAATCTAAGCTCTTTGTACTAGCGTCTGAAGCTCCTGCGGCTTCTTTGGCATCATCCACTACAAAATACCGGATGTGCTGCTTCTCGGCGAAGAAGGTCTGCAGCTTACACTTCCGCCAGAGGGCCGTCTTTTTATGTAGCGCTGGCTTCTACTAGTGTACCTTGGACACATGCAGCTGGATAGTCTGGAGGCTCTGCGTAAGGCCTGCCAAGCACGTCGAGCACTAGAAGCCGTCTAGGAGCCGCAGACCAGCAACCGCCTGGGTTGGCACGACTACTTGCTCCGGGGCCAACAGATCATAACTCCCAAAGAGCTCGACGAGAGCCTTCAGCGGCGCGCCTCGCAAGCAATGCGGCTGCTGCCTGAGGTATCGAGGCCATACATCGCGTCTGGGCTGTAAACAGAAGCCGCACTCAACGCAGAGGAGCACCCGCCACTCGGGCTTGTATATGAACGCGTCGCTCATAGCTCTAAAAGGGTTGTGCTAGTAGGCTTAGCTCTTCTTCACGCCAAGTTCTGAGCCTTATAGAGCTGCGAGGGCGCGTGTTTGTGGTTTACATAGTATGGTTCACTTATTATGGTTGACTGGTCCGTGCAAGACCCCTGAGCCAGGGGTCATCTCGCGTGCCGAGCCGCATAGTTAATCATAATAAGTGCGATTTCTATAGGTAGGAGGCGTACGACACGACTCAAGTTATAACCCCGAAAGTACCGCTCCTATTGCGTTAAGTCGAGCTAGGGAAAGACCTTAGTCTTGTGGCGCGAGGTAATATCGGGTTTAGGTGCTTGGAGCTTCTGAGCAAGGGTTTGCTCCACTTGTTCTCGGAGGCTAAGGGGTGGTTTCTCAAGGGCCTCCGCGAGCTGCGCCGGCGCTAGATCAGAGCCAGGCTTGCCGTTATTAACGAGGAAGTAGCGGGTGTAAGCTTTTGTATAGAAGGTCTGGCAAGCAACGGGGAAGTAGGCGGCATCGCTGAGTGGCAAGCGCGACTTAGACGGCCGGTCCGCAAAGCCTTTGCTCCTATTCCATTAATAGGCTTCCTTTAAATAACCAAGCAGAATCTTCTCGCTGCGGATCACATATAGCTGATCCGGAGGGCAGAGCTTGCAGCAGTAAGCATCGTCGTAGATCCGCAAATGCGGGATAGGCAGTATAGTAGTAGGGACATAGAGTTGTTTCACTTCCCGGGGAAGTAAAAGAGAATCCGGGGTAAAGAGACGGGCGTATTCCTAGACCTTGCCAGGTGGGATCGTAGCTTTGTAGTGGTCGTACAAGTGCCCTAGAATAGCTGTAGAATAAACGGTATATTTGTAGCTCGTACAGATTAAGATA